CAGTTTTCAAGTCTGTAGGACTAAAGGGAGTACACACAGTTAGTCGCAGAGATTTCACATGACTAACTCCTTACTTAACAGGATTCGAATCTAGCTCTAAAAGTATTGATTTAACACGCTTTCACTTGATCACAGAAAATCTTTCTCAGAGAATTCATTTATGATTTAGGAGAACATTTGATTTCAGTATTGATACTTGTTCCTTTCCTTTCAGGTGCTTTCCTTGCGTGCTTTTTAAGATTGAAAATGCTGCGCTCTGTTTTTGCAGTTTTTCATACTCTACATAAGAGGTTCCCAAACTGTGGGGCGCGCCCCCTAGGGGGGGCGCCGTGTCATTGCAGGGGGGGCGCGGGAAGCCGTCTGTATGAAAAACAAAACAAAACATGAACACTGTATGCGCTGGGTTTTTACCTTAGAATTGCCAACTCTCTGTTATTCCTATGTCAATTTGATACAGTAGAGGCATCCAAACTTTTCATATTTGTGTCCTCTGTCACTTTTATCAGCAGTTAAAACTGTTTAATCCGTTGTTGACATGTGGTAACCTGTTTATCCGAGCCGCCTTTAAACGCAACATGAGCGCTACGACGCTCGCGCTGGGTTTCCACCTGTGAAGGAGACCTGCTGCTGCTGGGCGGAGCTACGTAGGTTTGTGTTAGAATCACCGCAGCAAACCAGCAAAACGCAAAGAACTTTTCACAGTTTTTCCCTCCAAACTAACCGACTGAGTTGAATAAAGCTGCTGGATGCAGGTAATGGATGACTAGCTAATATCAATACAGAACCTTAAGCTTAACAAGTACCTTGTAGGCTACCAATGTTGGTGTCTATTTTCAGCTACGTACATTCATTTTGCCCCCCAAAAAGTCGATTCCCCCCACCCCGTTTCAACCAGACAGCCATTTGTAATCCATAGGGGGGGCGCAGAAAATGTTTGGAAACCACTGGGGGGGGCGCAGAAGAAAAAGTTTGGGAACCACTGCTCTACATGATTTCTCTTGCTGATTTGAAATACCTTTGAAAAACATTCATATTTATCGAGACAGGAATTAAAAGTTAGAGGATGTGCATCTCCGCTAATTTTCCTGTATGAAACACGTACTGAAAAGGGAACAAGTGAATCATCTTTATACAAGAATAGCATTCACTAAAACCATTCACATTATTTTTGCTTTGTGCACTGCTTTAATAACATATCAGATGGTTACTCCAGCTGGAGGTGCATCAGTAATGCACCTCCACTGATAGCTGGTTTCCATTGACCACATAATTGTTCAATTTGACATTTCACAAATAAATTGGCTTAATGTAAATGCATCAATTAAAAAAAAAACAACAAAAAAAGAACTTGTCGATAAGTTTTGTCTCTAGGATGTGTTTTTTTTGTTTTTTTTTTTTTTGGATTTATCAAAATTGGTTTAGTCCGCTAAACTGCAATGGAATCCCTTTTTTCGCCTCATGAGTCACATTATAAACAACCAGATGTTGCCACTGGCACAAACCATGAAGAAGAAGACAGGAAGTAGTTGGAGGATCAAGTGTGTTATGGTTTTTAGTGGCTTATTGCATGAACAAACTTATTCACTTGTGATTGTAATTGTGTTATGAAATAGAAATATTGCAATTATGAAATTGCGTCTTGTGGACATTAGTGGAATATTGACAAAGTTTTGCAGACATTTGGAATGGAAACACAGCTGGTGATTGTTTTCTCTCTTGTCTTATTTTTTTCTGTAATTGTTGACTTCTTTGTAAATAACCACATGCTGCAAACGTGGCAGTGGTTTAAAATATCATAAAATTACATGTTTATAGACTGCAACAATGTTTTTGAGACTATGGTGGTTTTAAGGTAGTAGAAGTCAACTTTAGTGTTGAACTAGATAATCAGGGTTTAATGAAGACACTAAGAGAGTTAAAATATCTGAGGAGACATTAACTGACAGAAATTAAACAAACATTTCTATTTTTTCACTTTTCATGCTTTTCCATCCCATTCCTGCTTTTCTCCATTTCCTTCTAATCTTATTTTACTCCCCATTTTTTTTTCTTATATTTGCGAATAATTCATACATTTTTTTATGTTTATCCCTCGGCTCTTCCTTGGTATTACACTCCCCCCACAGCCTCACACTTTTCTCTCCCCTCTTCCCATCATACATCTTTCAGATATTCTGATTTAGATCCTTTCCCTCTCCTTATTTTTTCCCTCTTTCTCTTATTTTGTTTTTCCACATAGCCTTCTTATCTTCCCCCCACCATTTTTTCTTCTTGTATCCCCTCCCACCCCCATCCTTCTATCTCACCAGTCGTTTATGCCTTCTCGCTGAGTGCTATTACAGCATCACTTTGCATTTAGATAACCATCGCCTCGCCACCCCAAATTGGTCCAGAGCAGGAGGAGGGGGATAAAGAGACAGGGAGAAAGGGGGAAGCATGGCATTGCAGGGAGGAGGAGCATTATTACATGAGGAAAAGGAGGAGTGGGAGATTGGGGATGGTATTGAACTGCTTGCTGAATCCTTCCAGAAGAAATAATTGCACGTGTCGGAGGCCAGATGGACCAAAACATGAGGGAAATTTCAATCGAAAAGAAACTTCACCATGGCCAGTTCATGGTTGTTGTTTTTGCTGAATATTTCATTTGTTGCTCAATCACCCATAGCCTTGGTAGCAAAGCAGAACACTGATATTTGTAGAGGGGCAACATTTTTCAATGCAAAGTCTGTAAACGTAGTTCTTTTCTAATATGTTTTTTACAGATTCCTGGGGACAAGCCCTCAGGAATCTGAGGGCTTATAAAAGTATGTAACTTTTACAAGGTACATACTTATAAAAGTATGTAACCTATATATAAAAAAAATCTATATTTTTGACATATATATATATATATATATATATATATATATATATATATATATATATATATATATATATATATATATATTTTACATATTTGTTAAAACTGTCACTATAACATTACAGTATAATATGAGACAGATAATCTGTAAAAGAAAACCTACATCTTCTGCCCTGCCCCATTGCTATTATTGCTGTCTTAAGAAATGCAATGCTTTTGGTCAAAAACAGGCAAGGAGGAGGATCTTATGCTGTCAATCAACCTTGTGTATGCTGTTAAATGTGCTAATGGTGGAGAAACAACTTACCACTTATCTGTCGTCATCTGTGGCTATGCTAACTAGCTTTAGCATTCCTGGCAGATTATCAGGAAGAAGCTGTAGTGTAGCAGATAATCTGTCATTTTTTCCCCTGTAGATTATCTGCCTCTTACCATCCTTTCACAACACAGTAACAGTTTTAACAAATATGTAAAAAAATATTTTTATAATTTTTATAAAAGGGTTTTGAGCTGGTGCAGCCTGCAGAACCAATATGGCTGGTGGGGCCTCAGCTCCTACAATTTCTGAGCATTTTGTGTAATTAATAGAGAGAGAGAAGAACAACACACAAGATAAGGTTAACAGAAGTTCATCTGGCCTTATGCTGTCACTGAATCTAAACGCAATCAAACTCAGCAAGGAATATATATTGGCTGATAGATCTAAGTGAGATGAGTCAAGGTGCACACATCCTGTGACTATCAACTTCTTTACAACTTTGCTTGCTAATTAGCTTGTACCAATACAAAAATCAAGAAAATATATAACCTTTTCTCCCAGGGGATGTTGAAAAATGGACCGGCATCCCTCCAGGTGAATAAGAAGTCTTAAATTGACCTCTAATTTAGAAGAGATCTGCTCTGCAGAGCAGTGCATACATTTGCTGCTCATGTTTTGTTTATAATACAAAATATGAGCAGTGTCACTTTTAAAGTGAAAATGTTTTGGGAATCCCTTTAAAAGTCCTGCAACAGTTTTGATTGGTTATCCACCCACAGGCTCAGACTTGTGTAAGTATAGGATCACCTGCAACATTAGCAATGGAAGTGACATCTGTGACCATGCTACTTAGAGACGGTAAATAAACCCATTAAGCTTTTCTATACCCTGCTGAGACTCATTTCTTATACCTTAAATGTGTTTTTTTGGAGAAGGTGTGGATAAGTAATCGTCCATAAAAAGCATGCATGTAGAGATCAGTAAATGTTTTGAGAATTTCCTCATCCAGCACAATAACAGGTGACAGTGGTCCTTTCCCATTACATGAGCAGCACAGCTGAGTGTCCACTATGGAGTTATGGACAATCCACCAGTTCAGCTGATATCAAGCTGAGTTTATTTTTATAGAACATTTCAGCAACAAGGCAGTTCAAATGCTTTAAGTCATAAAAACATCATTAACTGGTTATGGAACAGTAATATACATTACATTTTGTCAAATCCCATCAAAATCATCAATCAAATCTACATCAAACTGATCAATGTTCCATTTATTGTGATTCTAATGCATCTCTGAACAGGTGGGTTTTTAGCCTTGATTTACAGGAACTCAGTGTTTTGGCAGTTTTGCGGTTTTCTGGATGATTAGTATAAAAACTGAATGCTGCTTCTCCATGTCTGAGTCTGGTTGTACCTGTACAGTGTGTTATGGGCACAGCAATAACTTAGAGGAGCATTGTACTTCATACATTAGATTATCCACATCGACATACATCTAAAATTATCTTTAGAAAAAGAAATAAATTATGAAATACAATCACACTGTTATCAATGCTTCTTAAATATAATTTTACTATTTTTATTTCAAAGTCTGACAAAAACAGATCACTTTTTAAAATGTATTAAACACTTAAATCAAATTGTATATATATTATTCTGTAATTTGTTTAAATATACATTTTAGTGTCATGATCCATGAGTGTTTGGGGTTTTCTGAGAATTTCTTTATCTAATGTTTAAAAGGTCTTGCTATATCCCGTTGTATATTTTCATTTGGGTTTTGCCAATTTTAATTTTGTAACCCGTAATTAGTCAAGGACTTTTATTTTTGTGGGCCCACTGCATGTGTTGCCCCAAACTCTGCCAGCTTCTTTAAAGCCCCGCCTCCAGCGCGCAGTTTGAACATCCTCACCTGTTTCCACTGCGGGTTGCTGCTGGCGTCTTCCACACAAACTGATCCAAATCTTTGAACCTACTGATTTGATTGCCTGGTGAGTCTGTTATTTGACAGCAATATTGCTTTTACGTGTGAAACTTCTGCTTGATTGTTCATTGGAGCGTTGTTTTGTCAGAATTGTTGGTGGTGTCACCTGGATTCTGTCACAGCTGATTGTGACTAACTATGCCCCACTCTCAATGAGAAGGTAACCTGATTTTGTGCGTGTTCTGGCACGTTTGTATTGATGCTGAGGCAGTGAAGTTTAAAATGAAATTGATCAGAACAGAATGTAGCTAAACTTAAGTTTGATATTGCGCAGAATATTTATTTATTTCATTTTTTTTCTTTCTCTCACTCTGCTTGAGTATTTGACAATTTATTTTATTTTTTGTTGATATTTTTGAAGTGCACTTTAATTTTAAATTGATTAGCTTGAAATATGATTGATAATCTTTTTGTTTTACTTTATTTAAATTATGGTTAATTTAACCTGATTATTGAAATGTTTGATCTCGTCAAAATTATTAGAAATTTAATAATTGCATTTGCATTTAATGTGCATAAACCAAATTCCTAAATATAATACTTATTTCCTTTGAATGTTTGTACATAATTGTTTTGGATAAAACACTTAATGGATTTTTCTGACCTTTTAGGTCGGGTTTTTTTTTTTTTTTTTTTTCATTGGATCAGATCCTTATCTGGATCTGAAGATGGCGAACTAGAAAAAGGACAATGGACTTTATGATTTTGGAATTAATTTATTCTGAGTTAATTATCTTGTCTCTCATCATGCTGCTGTAATTGTCTGTTTTTATTCAAATCACTTATATATATAATCAAAACTAAAAGCATTGCCTCCTGTTTTCATTCGCTCCTTAAAAGGACACTCTTCTGATGCTGCTTTTGTAGCATTTGTAAGTGTTAAAATTTATTTATCATTCAGTGTCTGTCTTTTTCCACTTAGTTTGTTGTAGTTCCTCTGCATCTAGTTTAGTTCCCTTTTTGTTCATTATTCACCTTCCCTCCGCATAGTTTAACAAAAGTAAAATTTGAAAAAATAAAACGCATAAAATACTGAATATGGCGTTTCATAGTAAAAACATAAATTGGTTCCTTTGGAGGTATTTCAATTTAGAACATATCTACTGTACAACTAGATATTGCAGTATGTACCTGCAAAACACCGTACCGTCCCTTTAATAACGTATATGATTGGTCATATAGTTCCTGCTCTAATAAAAAAACATCTTGGATGCAGCTCCTTGACAGGTTTAAGGGAATCTCTCTGACACACATGGAGATACAGTAAAAACAAAATCTTAAAATTATTACACATTTATTGTACAAGTCCAGGAACCAGGGAAGTATATTGTTGAGAGGAGCTGAGGATGATGTCTGAGGTAAATGACGCCTATTCCTCATGGTGGGGCGATGGGGTACATGGGTGTTTACTTTGACTATGGGTGGGACCTGAGCGATAAATACTGAAGGGTGGACAGGCAGGAGACAACTGAATTGAAACAGAAAGTTGGAGGTGCGGAAGTTTGTTGCAGGTTCTGATTTGTGGTCCAAAGCTCAGGTTGTTTTCATGTGGCTCTGAACTGGCAAGTGTGGAAAATGCAACAGCAGTACAAGGTAAACAAGGAGACTTGGAACTCTGAGTAAACCCCAAGCCATGGGTTGACATCACCAGGTATGACAACCATCAGATGAAAAAAGGAAACTGGGAAAGCATATAGGTTGATCCTGCAGAGGATTTAAAGTGTTCTGGGTGACCTTCACTTCACCCCATGATCCACTTGTGTGGTAAAGCCTCTTTTGAGCATCATGTGAACCCTCAGAGTTAGTTACTTCATATTTCCCCTACTACCAGTGAATGCAAAGCTGAAGGGTTGTATGGTTATGGGGTCATATATTGCTCAAAGAAAGCAACACAGAGAACTTGTGATGCTACAGACTTCCAGCAACAACTCTTATTTTGTGTGATTTGTTTGAAACAAGCTAAACCAAAGACTGTCTCCATGGCTCTCTTTGACTTCTATTTATTGCCGTTTCTCTCTGGCGCACACGTACAGTTTCAAAGGTTGAAATCTCCCAGTTAGCCGTAACATCAGCTGCCTCCCCTGCTGCTCATCACTGGCCTGGCTGTAATTACAGACGCCTCCAGAAAAGACAAAAGGAGGAAGCGCAAAGGAAGCGTGGCCTTTTTTCACCCTGTGTGTGTGTGTTTCTGTGTGTGTGTGACTACACCTGTGCTGTGAGCGTGGGTGTGCAACACACGAGATGGAGACAAAGCAGGAGCACAGGCGCCTGGTCATCTTTTGAGATGCAGCAGTAAAACCACCCACTTTCCCTTTTTTTTCTTATGTCTCTGATTTGCCAACGTCCTCTCTGCATGCACTCTTTCTGGAACTTTTTTTATTCCCTTTCAGCCCATGTCTTCCATCTTTTTCCTTTGGTCTTTATAATTGCAGCTGCATTTGGAGCAGATGAATCAAACATCACAAAAATATTCAGGATTTTGCCATTGATCAAAGACAAAAAGAGGTAGGCTTGACATGCGGACACACAGGCCTCGACTCTGAAACATAAAAGTTAAAGGAAGTTGATTTCATGTCAAGAAAGGCTCTCCTCTCACCACCCTCTCTCTTTCTCTCTATAGAGATAGAGAAAAAAGGAAAAAAAAAATCTGCAGCAGAAAAACAGTTTTTATTTTAACTGCTAATTAGCTTCTTTTGCAGGCAGCTCTCTCTGTGGAGATTTTAATTATGATTTGGCATCGGTTGGCGATTGTAATATGAAATGGACGTTGTTGATCAAGGCTCTGTTGGAAGGTGGCTCAGATGGAGGAAGATGGAAGCCAAGCGCGAAAATGAAGGAGAGATTGTGAAGCAAGTGGAAAACGCTTTCGTTCACACCATGCTTGACTGCTCGCTGACGAGCCGCGCACAATGAGAGCCGCGTTGGGGAGCAGAACCACTGAGAGGTTCTGAATTTATACTTAAGCTGTAAGAAACAGGAACATTTCCCCTACTGCCAGTGAATGCAGTACATATGTGTCTTTTTTTCTATTTATTTCTACTAGCAAGAAAAAAAATTCAGTTTTCATTTTTAGTTCTGATTGATTACCTAATCTTGGAAATGCTGGGTTATTTTCGTAGCTCATCTGCTGAGCAAAAGCCATTAGGTCGCTTTTTTGTTTAGTTTGACCAGGTTCAAAAGTCATGACTCTGGAGTTGAGACAGCAATTCACTGGTTTATAATGAACTTCATAGCTTTACTAATTCTTGTCATACATTGGGTAGATTTGATAACCAAATTTGGTTGGTAAAATTAAGATTAGTGACCTGCAGATGAGGCTGCACAGTGGAGCAGTTGGTAGAGCTGTTGCCTTGCAGCAAGAAGGGTCTGGGTTCAGTTCCCAGCCTGGGGTCTTTCTGCACTGAGTTTGCATGTTCTCCTTGTGCAGGCGTGGGTTCTCTCTGGGTACTTCACCTTCCTCCCACAGTCCAAAAACATGATTGTCAAGTTAATTGGTCTCTCTAAATTGTCCCTAGGTGTGTGTGTGTGCATGATTGTTTGTCCCGTCTGTTTTTGTGGTGCCCTGCGACAGACTGGTGACCTGTCCAGGGTGTACCACGCCTCTCACCCAGAACATTCGCTGGAGAGGCACCAGCAATCTTCCCGACCCCACTGAGGGACAAGGGTATATGAAAATGGATGGATAGATGGACCTGCAGATATCATTGAACGTTCTCTGATAATCATGGCAAGTACAAACGGATATTCTAACAGTTTTGAAGAGAATAGGGTTAGTTTTTTTTATTTATTAGAATTTGTTAATTTTTTAAACTTAATCTTATGAAAGACCTTTTAAGAAATAACACCAGCTAGCTTATAACAAAGAAGGAAACGGTTAATATTTTTGAGAAAATTTTAGATTTTTTTTAATGTTATTTAAAAGGTGGATTTGGCTACTTTGTCAGAGAAACTGTTACGAGATTACTATATCTCTACAACAAAAAGTATTAGATGTACAGCCTTTGTTGAAAAAGGGTAAAAAAAGAGAAACGGTCTATAAAATTATTTTAATTTTATTTAATTTGATCTAAATATGTCATGTTTGTAATGTAACATATTCCCATTTGAAAAAAAAAATCAAAGTAAATTCATCCGATTTTAAAGCAGAAAATAGTTGATACTTTGACCCATAGACATAAACTCCTTTTATTGACAGTGACCCCTGTTTTTCCAGGACATCGTTCACAAGAGGGCACGCGCATCTCGGTAGCATTTTAGCTGGCGCAGCGCTAGCTAAAATGCTACTGGTGTGATAGCAACAGGGACCTGCTAAGAATTTATTCTGGTGTGTTCTGGCAAGCTATAAGTACAAGTTCACATGTCAGTTGAAAAATTACAGTAATTTAACTAAAAAATTACTGTAAATTAATTAATAGTTAAATTAACGCCTCTTGTTAAAGGGTCTCCTCCTCCATTGCTACTTGAAATGTAAGTAGCAATGGAGGAAGAGAGAGAAAAATGCAAAATGTTTGAAAAGCTCTGTGAATATTTTTCAAAGTGTTGCATTTAAAGTCCGGGTTCTAACTAGATCTTCTGTTTTAAGATTAATGCATGGATATATACTAAAAATAAAATGGTCATAAATGAAAAATATTGTTTTAAATCTTACACTCTGTATCTTTGTATTATCTTTAAGAGTTTTTGATTAATTAAACCACTCCGAGTTAGTATATTTCAACACGCATTATTTTCAGAATAACATTCATTCTTAAGGCAGGTTAAAAACTGTGATCAATGCATGAAACATATCCAACCTTAAGATGCACCTTTGATGACATACTGAGTCTGAAAATCCAATCTGGGCGATGAACCCTGAGACCCCGGCGATGCCACATTTTAAAACCAGGAAGAAGGAAGAAAAAAAAAAGAGAAAATCTTGGGACTTTGCAAGAAAGGATGTTCACACAAGCAGACACATGCACATGAGCATGCACACGTGCAGTAATCGGAGCAGCGATGTATCATCTGTGTAACCACATCCTCTTCCTCAGTGTGGAGAGAAGAGAATGTGACACCACCATTGTCCTGGATGAAAAACTCCCCAGTCATCACTAATATGGGCAGGAATATCAGCATTTAATATTCACAAGGGGACCGCAAAGGTCAAAGTCCAGTCCAAGGAGGGAGAAGAAGCTGGAAAAAAAAGTCTTGTGCTTGTATAGAAATGCTGCGGCTCGAGCACACAGCAGGAGTCCATCCTCCTTTCTAGGTTCAAGATTTCAACTCTGAATCTACACAGCTCCGTTTTGCTGGAGTCTCAGATTTATAATTACTTTGTTTATAAATCGGAATAGGTCATTAAAAATATTTAATTACCTATGCATTGCAGCAAGACGATTCCAGAGCTGTTCTTGTTGGAGATTCCATATTTCTAAATGGCCAATCAGTTTTGCATCTGAAGGTTTAACACTTTGACGGTGAAACAAGGTCACACCCTGATGACCCCAAACACTGTAAAACATGGTTTGAATGGGTAGGTTGATCATGATTCATTTATTTGCACTGATACTAGAGATGTCTTAAAACCTGCACTTAAAATTCAACTATACTAATTAAGATGGCATTAAGGATGAATATCTGTAAGATATGCAGGTTGTCTCACAGAGCTGGCCCCCATGACAGTACAGTCCCAGGACCTTCATCTAGAAAGAGCCTTCTGAATTTCCCCCAAATGTTTCTAAACACCACATTGAAAATAATTTACATGTTTAAAAATTAAAGATAAACTGTAGATTTATTTGTATTCTGTGAGGCTGTAGCTGCTGAGTGTTGGACTTAAGTGGAGATGTTTGTGAACAAGCAGTTTGTTTTGTGGACAATTAAATCGCCTTATATCCTGGTGATGTCTCCTAAGAAGCCGGTGTAAACCGACAATCAAATACCTTGTGTCTGTTTTTTACAAGCAACAGAAATATTAATTCCTGTAATGTAGATAATGTTGCATGTGCAGGAAGAAAATTCAGATATTACTTTTTAATGTAAGCTCCCAAGATTTTTCCCATTACATTCATGGCCTGAAAAAAAAAAAAGTCATCTTGCTCTAAATGAGACATGGCCAGCCGCAAATGTTTGACGAGGTAAGAGACAAGGCCAGCACTGCCGATGGAGATGATTTGTCGAGTTTCAACGAGGGAAGCTGACCTTCAGCATTAAATGCTATTGAAAAGAAGCAGGCACACACATGGCGTGGGCATGCTCACGAGCACCGAGCTGCACATATTTTTCTGTTCAAGCAGAGCTTTAGAAATGTTTCTCATTTTGTCACGTTGCAAGTGAAGACTTCAAAATATTTTGTTGGAATTTATAAAACACAAAGTAGTACATGATTGTTGAGTGGAAAGAAACTCGTACATGATTTTTAAAATGTTTTGTGAATAAAACTCTTTAAAGTGTGGCATAGATTTGTATTTACCCCTCGTTGAGTCTCTCTCTCTCCCAGCTGAAGACAGGCATGCTGCCACTGCCTTGTTTCACTGTGGGAATGCTGTATTTATGGTGATGTTCTGCAGTTTTCCACAGCACAGCATGTACCTGAGACCAAAACTGGCCTGACCTTCTGACCAAGGTGTGGCTTTCCTTCAACTATTTTTCTTTTCCCCATACAGTTTCTTCATAAACCATATTTGTGCAGAGTAAAGCCTATAGATGTTGGTCTTAAATTCTGTTTATAGTGGTTCTTAAATTTGAGTTGGTGAAACCTGTAGGTGGGAATATTGGAGTAAATGGGTATGAATGGTTTAAGTCATTGTGTTCTACTTTGGGTTGAATTATGTAGAATATAATCCCATTGAAATAGATATGCAATTTGTGGTTGCAACATGACAAACTAGAAAAAACGTCAAGGGGTATGAATACTTTAGCAATATGCTGTTAATGACTAGGTATTTATACTTTTACTGTAAAAGCAGAAGCTCAAGCCACACCTCGCCCCTGAAAAGTATGATGTAAAAACAACACAAGAGGCAAAGAAAACAAAGAGAGAACAGGGGCACACATCTGTGCTCTGTGAGATGACGGGTGCAATCAGTCAAGCTGAACGGGAGCATCTTCAATCACAGACCCTGATTGTTGTCAGACAGCCTAAAACCGGAGTACAAGGAGGGGATAAGGAGCTCACGAAGCCGCAGACTGAAACGGGTCCAATGCTGCCACCAATGCGCGACTGGCAGAAGTGCATCGTGCAACCCCCGAAGTTACGCACCGGATCCACTGGGGGGCGCATGTTCACTAAGCTCTCCATCTCTCTCTCTCCTTGTTCCCTCTTCATCCGTATGTAGCAGGGGGATGCCGGAGTCCAACCGCAGCTCCTGTCTCATTCATGCTGAGCGCTGCTCTCCTGTGCGCACGGATCTGCAGAGCTGAGCTTTTTGAACTGCTGCTGCTGCTCTCTGACGAGCCGAGCGGGAATGGAAACGTCCTCTGCTGCAACTCTGACATCCTAAAGAAAAGAAGAAATAATGCCAAGCAGGGATAATACAAAACACGGCTTAATAAGTAAGTACATGCAAACTTTTTCCACCCTCTACTTTTTTTTGTTTTTATTTTTTTAAATTTCTCCATTCCTTACCACCTCCGACCCATACCTCTGCTCTGTCCTTATGTTTTTTTCCCCCCGAGCGATGCTTCCTTGTTTTCACCTGGACCAACATGCACCACTCCGATGGAGCATTTTTCGTCTTCTTTTCTTTTTTTCTTTTTAACATTTTGCATTTTGGCGCTTTGAACGAGCAGCTCCAGGTTGTCGCTGCGCACACGGGGCGAAAGCAGCCAGTAACGCACGCTGGAAGGTTGCGGATCTTCCACAGGAGTGAACATCTCCAGTTTTGTTTTAACTGGAATTTCGCAAGTTTGCAGGACGCAGATAGGTCTCTTTAATTTTGCTATAAGGACAATGCGGAATTTGGATGCAAAGTGGATGTGTTAATATAGAATGCATGGATGTGAGTTTTAGGGCTTGTTTAGTGTCAGTTTGGTGCATCGAAGTAGTTTTGTGGTTTGCTGAATAAATGGAAATTCACTCAAGGCATCCAGCCAACTTGGAAACCCAAAATTAATTCTCTATTTTGTTTGCAGAGGCGCTGCTAAGATGAGGGGCAGGCAGGGTGACCACCCCAATGAATTTGTGTAACTAATTTGTCACTAATTGGGAAGAACTGGGGATTTCATAATTAATTATATATCTCCTCCACATCAGATATATACAGTATATCGGTGATGTGCGGTGAGGTTCATTGCTGGTGAGGCACTGACTTACGACTTAGACACCATGCATGTTATTGGACGTACGGAAATTTCGCGCATGCATACAACGCTGGGGGGCAAAAAGACTAATCATTTACATGTCAGCCATAGCCGCGTTAACTCAGTGAAACTTAAGAAATGTAGGTATTAATTTCGTGCTATGATCCACAGCAAAGTGATCTGTATTCGCCAAGCCATGCAGACTCGTTGCCATAGCAACTGACAACAATGCCACTTCATGTTTTAGGATTTAACACCAAAAAGACGTTCAAGAATTTTGCACACAGAACAGAACATTCAGTCTGTTGTTCTAATACGTTTTAGGCTTAATGTTTTATTAATAAATAATTGCTGTGGTAGATTAGCTACCACGTCTACTTTACTGAATTATTTAGACATACAAACTATAGCCCACAAAACGCACATTTCATTAAAAAACTAAACAAAAACATCTTATTGCGGTCTTACCTTTACTTATCAATGAAATCCATGCACCCCTAATTCTGCACAAAAATATCCGTTCATGCAAAGCCAGGTCTATCCTCGCCATGTCTTTTCTACTCCGTTTGAGAATCATCAAACTGTCTCGAAGCAAAACTTTCAGCTCCGGTGTTGGTCTTCCTTTAGTTATTATCTCCTGGTTCAACTGAAAATCCACTTTAGAAAACTGTTAAAGTGTAGAAATGTAGTCTTTCATGTTGACGTCGGAAGAGAGGAGAAAACAAATATATCGCTGTACTTTACTTATTTACTGTATGGCTAGCTCCATGGCTAGCTCACTGTGTCTTACTCTACAGTTGTGCAGTCACAATATCTGGGATCATGAGCGCCCCCTGCCATGAGGCAAGAGAACTGCCTGCGTCACCTCGAGTCTGTTCTCTGCCGTTTCTGATCGCTCCTTCGCACACAAAACACGATACACACACAGTTGGTGACAAAAAACACTGTACATTATATAAATAAGCTAAATTATGAAAAATCAGTCCATATATTAAATGTTTTTTAGCCATTTTATTGCCGGCGTACAGACAGGATGAACATGCTCCCATAGAATGGCAGCCAGTGCAGTTAGCGAGAGGTTGCACAATCCCAGGTGAGGCTCAGCTCGCTGCTGCTTCTCTTCTGAGTATTTGAATGGGAAAATGCGAAAATCCAGCGATTTTGAAGAAAAAAATCATCAGAATTGGTTAAGCTAAGTAAAAAATAGATACTTTATAGTACAAACCACAGGGTGAAAATAGCAGTATAAAATGGCTTTATTATTATATATTATTTTTCCATGATGACATGACAGGTGAGGCTCGACCGCAATATATATATATAT